TTGTGGCTGCCCAAGATCAGATGAAAGCCACCCTCTCTCTCTTGCCCACTCCATCCTCTACTAGACCAGGTCAGCTTTTGGCTCCGATAAGTCATCTACTTCCAAACCAAACAAGGGATCCAGGAACACAGATATGGTGGGAATGAGGAAGGATGAGGATGGAAGAGCAAACAGTAAGCGCTTTTGAATGGTTATGTAAAGTGCACTGGGTTCGGTCAGTGGACCTCTCCTGGGAAGATCAGGAAGGAGGGCTCCAAGTAGTGGACATGAGGACTTCCCCAGAGCAGTGCAACATAAGGCATAGCTTATCCTGTGACTGTGGGGACAGTGAGGATGTAATGGTCCTCAGGGTAGCTTGCCTGGTCAGAGACAGGATGCAGGGGAACCAGAAAGAAGGGTAGGTAAGATCAGATCGTGAGGGGCTCACAGGTGCCATCTAAGGAGTTTGAATCTTAAGGACACCAAAAGCCTATTAGAGACAAAGCCAGCTTCCAAAATAAGCTTGGAACATACAGCAGAGGGATGGAGAGATTGAGACCTGAGTTAAGATAGCAGTCAGCAGATGTAGTTTTTGAGCTAGAAGTCACACAAAGCAATGAGTTCATGGGATAGGGGTGTAGAATAAGGAAGAAATATAGGACAAGGGTTCTGAACCAGCTGGCTTCTCATGCTTTAACACAGTGAATGGTGAGTGATTGTGTTACTAGTGAGACTGAGCACATAGGAGGGGTAGGCCCCATCCATAAGGTAGGAATGAGAGCGAAGGATCGGCCTATACTGAAACATAAACTGTCCTGACTGCAGTGCCCCAGATACCGTCTGCATCATGTATATAACCTGTGGCTAATACAGTATTTATTATGTGTAGTTTTTCATTTGACTATATGATAATACTATTACTCCTATAAAATGCAAATTACCGCAAGATAATTGGATATTTTTACTTAAAAAATAAACCTAGAAGAGTGGGAGTCATTCTGGAGTCCTAGTCCATTAAGGTGATTTTGTCAGCATTGTGTTGTGTGACAAGCTGTGTAAGCCAAGTTACTTATGTTATGTCAGATTTTCCCAGATACTAGAACTACATGGTTAGATTGATTGTGTATAAATGAAACATGATCCAATCATAGGTGATGTGCTTTTCCAGACCCTTGAAGTCAGAATTTATTTTTGCTGGACATCTTGGCTTGAATGCCTGTGAATTGGGGCTCCTTAAAGTCAGCGTAGCTGTAGGGGAAACAAACACCAAGAGACAGTGCATTGGGTTTCCTATGCAGGTTTTATACATAAGCATCAGCAACTCTGTTGGCATATAGTCTACTTTCTGATACAGTGGTGCATTTTATCTCTTAAGTTCTTCATTTGAATGCACATTGTTTTGAACATTTTTATAACATTTAAACTCATTGTAGGACAAGCTAAATGTTTAATTTTCCCCCTCACTTAGTTGCTGAGCCAGCAAATTTATTATTCCTGCCCCCTTATTTTGTTTTTGTTTTTGTTTTTTTAAATAAATTCCACAATTCTGAAACAGTGTTTCTGATTTTCAAAATGTGTTCCTGTTTGTAGAAACTAATTGGAGAAGCATGGTGGAAACTTCCGATGGCTTGGAAATGTCAGAAAATGAGAGAGAGCTTCCCTCTAAGCAGAGCCCTTCTGAGAATCCCAGTAAACTCACACCGGACACAACCCCTGTGAGTAAGGAGCTGCAGCTGGCTGCAGGCAGCACTCCCTCAGCGCCAAGCCAGGGGAAGCCCGCAAGTGACAAGGACGAACTGAAGCCGGACGACCTGGAGTGGGCCTCCCAGCAAAGCACAGAGACTGGCTCATTGGATGGCAGCTGCCGAGATCTTCTGAATTCCTCCATCACCAGCACCACCAGCACGCTTGTACCTGGCATGCTTGAAGAGGAGGATGAAGAGGAGGAAGAAGAGGAAGATTATACTCATGAACCCATATCAGTAGAAGTACAACTCAATAGTAGAATCGAGTCCTGGGTCTCAGAGACCCAGAGGACTATGGAAACCCTTCAGCTCGGCAAGGCCCTTCCTGGCTCCGAGGAAGACAATGCAGTGCAGAGTGGAGAGGAATCAGCAGAAGCACCTGAGGGGCCGGAGTCAGGAGTGGACAGTGAGAGCTGGACCCCTGACCAGCAGCCGAAGCCCAGCAGCACCGTGAACAAAGAGCACTCTGATTCCAATCCTGCTCCTCCAAATCCATAACTCAGGAAGTGTCAGTTGTCTCCAGCTGTGTCCAGCTGCAGCCATGTCCCTGATGCTCCAACTCAACGTTTTCCACTGTCCAGTTACTTACTATGTTTTTAATTCCCAACAGACCTTTTGTAGCTTTTACCTATTTTGTTAAGATCTCAGCTTAACTTTTAACTAGTGTTCAGGTCTGTTTCTAAGAATTGTGTAGAAAATTCAGACTTGTTTCAACTTACTTTGTAATGAAAAAATAATGATTAAAGAAAGAAGACCAAATTCTAAAGAGAAAATGTAAACAAACAACTGATGGCTATTTAAGGTTATTTTACAAACTAAAGATTAAGATTATAAGGACCAGTCTTTGATTACAGACTGCATCTGCTTCAGGGTCATTTGTCTGTTGGAGTCATGGAAGCTGCTTTTGAAAAGTGCTGGAGGTAGTATCAGGACCTAAAAGGTCGAGGACAGCAAGGCTGTCCAACACTGTGCATTACAAAATGGGTGCAGATTTTACTTGGCCCACAATGTTTATTTCAGAAGCCACTGGTCCTTGTACCCCACAAAAGTCAGGATGGGCTGAAACAGCCTGCAGGAGTTAGGCAAGCACTGGAGCGTTACCACCACACTGGCCTTGCTTGTGAAAAGGGACAGATGTCTGTAAGAGCAAAAAGTCACCATCGTGCAACTTGCCAGGTTCTGTCTAACACTTGCCTCTTACCTCAGGAATGCTCTTGTACATAGTGTGTAAAGTTAGCAGACACTGATAGGTGTACAGGTTTGTATTTGCACAGCACTTCCCTGTGGACCCCCAGAAGCAAGGCTCTCCTGCTTTGCCCTAATGCTTGCTTTGGCTTTAGGACCCCTTTGTTTTGAGGTGTGGATCTGTTTGCATATTCAAACAGGTCTACATTGAAAATCATTTCATCTTTTTAAAATTGCACCTTCCTCGTGACAAGAACCACAGTTAGAGGAAATCAGGAGGAGGACTTTTGCACAGTTTGTGGTGACATGTGCAGGTGGGGCTTAGAAGAAGCTGTAGAAGAAAAGAGAAGGTTATTCTAATTGCAGATCTGATGATTTATCAGATTCATATGTATGCAGAAGCTAATTTTACTCATGATTATTTATCTCCACCCTTCTCTAGGAGTGTGTGTGTGTGTGTGTGTGTGTGTGTGTGTGTGTGTGTTTGGGTGTGTGTGAGTGTGTGTTTGGGAGAATCTTAATGAGCTGTTTTGTTGACTGTCCAGCTATCACCTGGATTCTGCTGTCTTCAGCAAGTTTTCATAAGATGGGAGAATCAAACATTACCTGTCTTTTGTCTTCATCTCCTTTCCTTCACGCTCAGCTACCAGTACACAGATGGACACATGAGCCTTCTCCCTGCGAGCTCCCAGAAGCAGGCAGCAGCCAGGTGTACTTCTCTCCCTGGTTTTATAGGGCAGGACTTTGCCTCCCAGAGGCAGAAGAGACAAGTTAGAGAAATAATTGGACCTACTGTGAGAGTTTCAAGGTTTTATAATGCTGGCATTTAATGCTGGAGAGATGAGATTCTTGGCTGATGGTATGGTATTTGTAAATTGTGAAAGTTTAGGAGCATTGCTTTATATATTTAAAAAAATGTCAGTCAACTTGATTAGTGTGCTAAAGGGGACAATAGTATACCGTCCAGTCTAAGCTGTTGTCCAGTGTAGACTTTAGGCACTAATTATCTGATACTTCAGTTAGACGTAAGGAATGAAGCTGACATAGTATGATTTATATGGGTGGATTCTTACTGTCTGCATATTGGAAGCCTTAACTTGTCTAAAGAAATGATAGAGGTTTTGAACGACTGACAATCTTGAAAGTGGATTTGAAAACTTCTTATTCTTCATGATGTTATTTCCTGCTTGATGTCAGTAGTTCAGATGCTCTTGATCTTGAGGTAGTGGCTTTTCAAAGATTTCTTATATTTTATTCTCTTCTGGATGTGGATCATCATTTTAGAGTTTTGACATTTGTACCAAAACAGATGTTGAGGAAATCTTGGAAACAGCAATAATTTACTTTTGCTGTAGTTGTCAGAAGGCCAGCTGGTGGCCTCTGAAAGGCAGTGGATTTCCTGCCACAAATCCAAGGGACCACAGACTTTATATGGGAAACTGGTCACTTCTAGAGGACAGCCCAAAATTTATCAAAGGAAGTTCTTCCATGCTGAATACCCTTAAGTATGCATCAGCGATGTCTTTATAATCTATTTCCTTTGGGTAAATTTGGGGTGTTCGTGTATATTGAGTTCCAGACTTTAGAGGAGGCATGAGAAATAGGAAAGTCTTATTTTTGGAAATAGGTATCATTCACTCTTTGAGATGTAGAAATAAAAGTAATGGTAAGAATATGAGTTTATCGGCACAAGAAATAAAAACTGATTTTTCCCTTAGTGTGTAGATGTAGTTTTACTGGCAATAATTAGTGTTAGGTATCAGTACATGAATTACAGTATAAATTCCACTCCCCGGTTTGACTCCCTCTTTGGTGGGCTTGTTTGTTGTGAAGACTACTCCTCGAAGACAGAGAGATGTTCATAATAGCTTAATTTTTTTTGGTTTTAATCTTTGTAAATGATGTAATATAATTTCTTTTGACTAAACATGAAAAAATAGCACCTGTTATACATTGAAAAGTTTTTACAGGCTTTGGCTGGAATCATTTTTGAAGAGATGGTATTTTATATGCTTCCAGTATTTGGAAAAGAATTAGTCAAAAGGAATTCAAATAATTTAAATATTGACAAATTAATATCCAAATAACATACTTGTGTGATTTTTCTAATAACCTGGGAAAGTGGGGGTGGGGTGGGGTGGGATTTACAATTTGCAAATAAAGAGCGATCTTTGCATTCATTTCGACTCTTAACACAAAACTGCTAAATCGTAACACATTGTTACTTTAATATATGTATAAAGTATTACTGTTTGTAAAGCTGCTGTTTGCTTAAGAAATTATCATGTAAGTATTTTCTGTACATTGTGCCAACAGATTAGAATATTAATTTAATTCGCTGAAAGCTTATCTTTTTATTTAAATTTTTTCTGTGGAATATTTTCTTGGCAAACATCTTTCCTTCTTCCTTGCCCCTTTCAACCTTTGTACACATTATAGATTCTGCAGAATCTTAAAACTGAACCCTGGTTAATGATAACATTTAAACTTGGTTGGCACATCACACCTTAAAAGTATTTGTATTGTTTTGTAATTTAATTTCTAAATATACCACCTCAATTTATAATTTAATGTCTTAATTATAATGCTCTAATAAAAACTAGCAAAATTAGTGGATTATACCAAGGAAGATTTCTGTGTTCTTTTTCTGTGTGAAGGATAAACGTTATCCCACATTCAGAGGTTAATAACCCTTTTGCACTCTGTAAGTACTAGTGGGGCTTCTCTGCTTATAAAAGTGGTTATTGAAATGCATTCTGATGTCACCCCAGCTCTTTGACCTCCCCTGTGCTGGTAGATTTTTAAGGATTTTGCCTGCCTTGTCTCACGGCTTTGCCAGGATTCTCATGGAGCAATAGCAATCTCTGTGCAAGGGTCAGCATCATCTGTGACACCTGCCTGTCTTCTGAGCCGACTGTTCTGATGTTAGTTTAGCCTCCTGTAGGTCCCTCAGTTCCCCATGGTTGAACCTCGGGGCATACAGCAGCCTTGCATGGCTCCTCTGTCTTTTCGAGGCAATGCAGTGGTGGAGAAACTAAGAAACCATCCGAGATCCCACAGCCAATAGCGGCAGATTTGGAATTCAAACTCTAGCCACAGCTTTACTGTTGTGGAATAATCATTTTTTTACACTGTGAAGATGTGTCTTTGCCAAGGCACATTGATTTAGTAAAGAGCTGAGTGGCCAATGGCTAAGTAGGAAGAGGTTGGACCGGACTTTCGGGCAGAGAGAAGAGAGATGAATCTAGGTGAGGGAGAGGCACTAGAGGAGATGGAGAGGAAGCAGGACATGTGGGAGGAGAAGTATAAGCCACGAACCACGTGGCAGCACGTAGATGAATAGAAATGCGTTAATTTGAGTTATAAGAGCTAGCTAGAAACAAGCCTAAACTAAGACTACCCTTTCATAATTAATAGTAAGTCATGACTTGGGGGCTGGCAGTCCAAGAAAGCCTGCTACACTTTACTGTGTCGTAGAGTGCCCAGGTATGCACAGTGCTTCTGGGGCAGTATGGACCTTGAGCAGTGAATTCTGTCACAGTGCTGATCTCTGTCTCACTAAAACATTGAGAAGCTATAGAAACTTGTCACTTGGTTTTTCTTCACGTTGACCAGAAGAGGGTGTGTATACCTCCTGAAGGCAGTTGAAAGCTGCTGTGAAATACTGCTTTTCTGATGAAAAGGGAAAGGGAGTGTTTTAGTTAGGGTTTCTATAGTTGTGAAGAGACACCAGGACCACGACAGCTCTTACAAGAACATTTAAGTGAGGTGGCAGATGACCAGTCTACTCATTACCATCATGGTGGGACACGGTAACGTTCAGGCAGACATGGTGCTGCAGAAGAAGCTGAGAGCTCTACATCTTTATCACAGGCAGCAGAAGCACTTGTGTCATGTGAAGCCTAACTTGAGCATATAAGACCTCAAAGCCCACCTCCACAGTGACACACTTTCTTGAGAGCACCACTCCCTATGGGCCAAGCATTCACACATATGAGTCTATGGGGGCCATACATATCCAAACCACTACAGAAGTATATTAAACAACAGCTCTTCTGCCATGTACTTACATCCTAATCTGGCACAGGTGGTGTTTTAAGAGGGCATCTGGACAATATGTTGAGTAATGTCCTATGAGGTTTCTAAACCAGAGCAGTTCCAGATCACCCGAGAAAGCAAATACCACCACAAAGCAAGTCACATGACACATTTGTTTTCTCTGTGTGTTTGGAAGTTATGGTTATACTATGCTGTAGTTTATTGGCTGTGTGTCTAAACAATGAAAGTGACAGTTTCAGATTATTTTATTACTAAAAAAACACCTCTAGTGAGTTGCGATTAGAAAAATGAAACCTTGATGTTGGTGGTTGGTAACAGATCAGGGTTGTTGGTTCTGATGTTGGGGTGTCTATGGCAATTGCTTACACAGGGCTGTGAAATCACTGTATCCTTAGGCTCTTGCTTTCACAAAATGTTTCTCTACTATGTCTTGCTGTTGTTTTTGTGGAGTCTGGGATTAAGGCCATGTTTTCATGAATGCTAGGCAAACCCAGCACTGAGCCACAGCATGGCTCAATGGCATTTTCCTATAAAACCTGACAAGTTAAAGTGAATCCTGCTGCTGCTGCTTTTTCAACTGATTCTGAATATTCCATTTTGTTACCACAACAGCAATACTTACAGCTTCTCTGCCAGGCATAGACTCCGTCTCAGGAAACCACTGCTTTTGCTCCTGTGTGAGAAGCGACTCATTGCTAAAGCTTTGTGTGAGAGGGCAGCTTGCCCATCACATTCCCAGCCTGCTTCTGTTTCTGGTTCTTTCACTTTTTCTGCCACGTCCACAGTTAACTCTGCTGAAATCTGGAGCAGCGGCTTTCCAGAGGCCCCATGAGCCAACATTTGCACACATCTATAAACTGCCCGGCTTCATAGAAGTGAGGGATGTAAAGAGCCTTTCTCTGAGTTGGGCTTTAGCTTACAAGACTATGGTAGCTAATTTGATTTTTTTTTTTTTTTTGTCCAGACCACTAAACTTGTGTCAGCCATCTGGCTGTGGTGCTCTGCTGTCGCTTGTGTGTGCACTGACTGGTACTTACAGTCTCCCTCATGAGCCTTCCTTTCGCATTCACCGCTTGGCCAGCCGGTACCAGAAGCCGAGCTTCCAGCCTGTCTTGGCCTTGGCCGTGCCTTCTTCCCCAAGCTTCCTCATTTCTAGCTTTTGACTGAAAGTGAGAGATGTGTACTTTTTTCTTTCAGTTCAACACTTAACAAACCATTGTGTGGTTATTAATTTCAATGCTGTTCTATCTTGTGGAATAGGGAAGCCTGAGGAGATGGAGAAAGACATCAGCTGGTTGACAAAGCAGCCAGAACACTGAAAGTATTTACTGATGTGCAGTTCTCTGTCTTACACAGGCAAGGGTTAGGGGCACCTCAAAAACGGTTATATAACAGAGCACCAGCGAATGTCACTGAGCCCAGATCTCTCGTACAAATGTAATGATAATGAATGCATTGGAAACATTGGTAGGGTTACTGGAGCAGACACTGAGAGCTGAAGTGAAGGCATATTACCAGCAGATGTACTCAGCAGAGGGTCAGTGCAAACCTTCAAACCGTGTAAAATACAGTTGATGAAGGGCAATAGAAAGGAATAGAGAGTCCCTGTCCATAGCCTCTCACTTCAAATCTTTCTGCTGTGACTGACTGACATGCCCTCTGTTAATTTAGTTTCTCACCAGCTTTTTTAATGACTACTAGATATTACCATTATAAGGCAGTGGGCTTCTTAACCTCTTGTGTCTCTACAATTGCCCATGAGTTACTTGGTGTCGGGGAAGTCAGTGTACAGGTATAGAAACATCTGGTGTCTTGGCTCTGCCATTTTTCAGATAGTGGGCCTTGATCAAATCACCAGACTGTTAGAGAGGGCATGTATTAGTGAATTTGGAAAATTGGCCTGCGGTAGGGTTGATGTGTATTGGGGTGTGTGGGTGTGTGCTGGACGGGGATTCATATTGCTCATCACAGCTTCTCATTCGCTGCAAGATATTGGGGTGACTGGGGGAGTTCAGCCAAGAGCACTTTGCACCTGTTGGCCTTAGGTGTCAGTAGAGGTCTGGTCCAAGACACCTAATCTTGTGCCAGCTCCAGGAGACCATGCAAAGACCAAATGTAAGTAAGGGTGGTGGCATTTACCCTTGTCCTATTTCCCTGTTCCTACTGACCACAGGGGTGCAGCCATCAGGACAGCACAGAGCTGCTGCTTTGATAGAAGGAGGCAGCAGCCACAAGTGAATGGCTGGCTAGTTAGTCTGCTGCTGAGAAGAAATGGGCCCACCTCCGGATCTCCCCCACATCCCAATGAGGGTGAATTCTCATTGCTGCATGCGTATCTTGTGTGCTTGGGCCCTTTCCGGACCACGGGTTTCAGTTCTTTGATCTGGCTTTCCCTCCAAGGGAGCCCTGGCCAAAGGACGTGCCTTCTACACAACTGACCACTGTCGCCGCAACCAGGCAAGCACATTTCTATTTTCATCTCAATTCCCAGCATCTTGGGAAAGAACTTGGCTCTTACTCTGGACCGACCCCTGCAGAGGGAGGAGAGCCTGCAGGCTCCTTCTGTAACCTTTCTTTGACTTAGACTCCGAAGACAAAGGTGATCTTGAGTGCTGCGGAGACACAGCTTCCCTTTATGCTACCACCAGGGCCCTGGAGCCGCCTGCTCACCAGCACTGAGGCCCCTTTGTCCTGGCGGGGGACTGTGGCCTCTCTGCCCGCGCCCCTCCCCGCGAATCGCTGTGCCCGGAGAAGCCTTTGGACTTGCCTGGCGCACACTGGCTCTTTCTTCTCAGGCTCCTGCAGCTTCGGTGCTGCGTGCCTGGTCGCCTGGCTCCTCCGCTCAATCCCTGCAAAAGCGCGGAGGCGCGCTTCTCTGACAGGCCCAGCTTCTGCAGGATCCAAGGCCACAGTCAAAGGCATCCCAGAGACGCAGTTCCCGCCGTCGCCCGCAGGGGGCGCAGGGCTGCACCAGGAGAGGCTCTCTCACCTAAGCAAGCAGCAAGCAGCTTCCACAAAGTCATTCCAAGAAACCTGCATACTGCATACGAGAGGATATTGAGGGAGGGGGAAATCATTCAAATCTTACTGTAAATCCAAACATGGCAGAAAAGACGGAAGCCAGGGAGAGTGGACACTCATAAAAATCTTATCTTAGAGCTCTCAACCTCCGTGTGAACCTCAGTGCCCCCACTGGTAAATTATAGTGCGTTTGCAGAATGGTACTAAATTGTCATTAAAATAACCCATCTGTAATTGCATGAGAAATATGGGGATTTCTCCAAACATGGAAAAAATAGGTAGAAAATTGAGTGCGATGTTACGGGTTTTTGTTGTTGCTGCTGTTGTTAGGAAAAGAAAAAGCCATGGTTACATATGAGGGAGAATATGTGGATGTGCTTTGCATGAGACTAAAATATCAACAAGGGTTGTGTCTAAATTAGGATGTGGATGAATTCAATTTTCATCTCTGGCTTGTTTATCTCTCTATCAGTAAGGTACTTCTATGTAAAACGAAAAGGGTTCTTAAGACCGGAAGTCAGCTCGAGAGGCGGAAGGGGCTTATGGGAT